ATATGGTATCTTCTTCTTATTGCTGAAAAACTATAATTCATACAAAGAGTAACTTTAGAGGTAGAAAGAGAAGTTTTCAACTGTAAATTTTTTTTTTTTTTCCCTTTTTGTCTTTTTTCGTGTCCGGCAACGGATCGCAACCCTCAGTGTCGCGCCCGTACCAGACCGGGACCGGCAACGGGATCGCAACCCTCGGTGCTGCGCCCGCACCTCGCTCAGCCAGTGAGCGGGAACCAGTCTGTATGTGGGATCCAAACCCTCGGCAGGAGCGTCGCCGCGCTCCCAAGCAGCGTACTGTAGCAGTGCGCCACCGGGCCGGCCCTCAACTGTAAATTTTTTTTTTTTCATGTCCGGCAACGGATCACAACCCTCAGTGTTGTGCCCGTACCGGACCGGGACCGGCAAGGGGATCGCAACCCTCAGCGCTGCACCCGCACCTCGCTCAGCCAGTGAGCGGGAACCGGTCTGTATGTGGGATCCGAACCCTCGGCGGGAGCGTGGCCACGCTCCCAAGCGGCGCACTGTAGCAATGCCCCATCGGGCCGTCCCCAACTGTAAATTTTTTAACATTTTAATTCTAATAGACAGCTGTCTATTAGACATCTTCAGTTTTGATCCATCTTAAAATGTACCACAAAAAGAAACAACAACTTTTCCATTCTCCCCCCCACCTTTTGGTACATATCAGAATGGTAAATAGACACTGCATAAAATAAATTCTAAGAGTCAGCTACAGCCTTTTAAGAGATGTTGTAAAATAGCAGAGCATAGGCAACAAATATAAAACTTAAAACACTATGAGTAGCATGAATATTGATTTGAAATGTTCAGGAATGCAAGAAAAAAAGTTAATATTTTGTTAGGACTTGCAAATTCAAAGATATAGAGGGGCCAAGAAGTGAGTGAAACAGCTTGGTACATGATTGGAGCTTCAGCTGCCTGTAGGCACTAGCTCTGTCTGAAAAGGGCCAGTTGGTTGCCAGATCTTCTGATATTTCAAGAGAAACTGGAAATCCAGATTTTGATGTGGGATCTGATTTTTTTAAAAAAAAATAAGTTTTAACAATGAATTCAACATTTTTAAAAGGAATATATGGGTCAAACAAAAAACACCTTTATGCTGAATTTGGCCTATAGTCTGTCCCTTTATGACTTTTGCTTTTTCACTGTTCTAGATTCTTCTCTTCAAATATACATTTGGTTAAATAGCTGCTAGGACAAACTGTTACAAATTAGTTCAGTTTTTCCAAAATTCTAGCCGTAACTTATTTCAAAATAAGCCTATTAAAAATTTTATAGGGAATGAGATTAATAACTGCTCACATAGTAAAGACATGAGCCACATGATCAACCTCATTGAGCTCAACTCTGTAAAAGCCTGTATTTTTAATTCCTTTTGGCATGTGAAACAAATTCGTTAGGAACATTAGGAAAGTCTTCCGAAATGACTTTGGGTTAAACTTATCAGAGAATCTCTAGCCATAGTCTGATTATTTTGTTAGTAATTAAAAATACCTTAATGCTGCAAAATTATAGAACCAATGAATAAATGGCCAGAAAATGGGCCACTATTAAACTAGATTTAATTGAAACGTTTTAAAGATTTCTAACCTTGTTTAGTATGAAAGAATAATAAAATGAGTTGCTTGGCATAAATTATCCTACAACAAATGCTAAATGCAATTTCTTAATTTATTTTATATTTTCTTTATTACCATGACCTTATATTATGGGATTTTTAAAAATAACAAAATTAGTTTTTATGAATACTGCTTAGTTTTGATTTTACTGTCTTGTGTAGGTTAAAGTGTATTTAGGCCCAGTGTGTGCTAAAATGAGTGTAGAAAGAGGTTATTGGGAAGAGGTTGCTGTTTGTAGAACACAGACACTTTGTATAGAGAAAATTTTTCTGATGAATGCTTATTCTTTTTTCCATATTCTACCTGCCAAGAACAAATTAGTCTATGTGTGTCTCTGATTTCCAAAGATATCGAAACCAAATTCACAAATACCTTGTTAGCTATCCAGCTAATTGGATACCGTGATAATAATAACGTTGCACTTAGCTTTAAATTGCTCTTTGGAGCTATGGTTTCTTATCGGACTGGAACATACTACTGTGGAAGAAAATAGCAAATTCTGAATAGAGAAGAATAAGAGATGCTACTTAAGAGTATCATTCGGGCCGGCCCGGTGGTGCACTGGCGAGTGCGCCGCTTGGTAGCGCGGCGGCGCTCCTGCTGAGGGTTCGGATCCCACGTGGAGACCGGTTCCTGCTCACTGGCTGAGCGCGGTGCGGGCGCAACACCGAGGGTTGCGATCCCATTACCGGTCAGTAAAAAAGACAAAAAGGAAAAAAAAAAAAAGTATCATTCAGTCCTGCCCTTTATTTGCTAACCACTTCATGGGAGCCAGGACCTGGATAGGCAGTGTAGGTGCAAATATCTATGAGTCAGGGTTTCTGGAGGAGCTTTATACTGTAAAAGAAAACATTCCTAAAGTAGCTGTAGTGCACACCAAAGCGCTCTTAGTGGAGAAAAGTATAATAGGAAAATAGTAAGAGAAGAGAAGCTGATTTGAGTAGGGCCTTGATAGATAGGAATGCCTTTGACACTGTGATATTTTCAGCTGATGAGGAATTGTGGACAAATGGTTTTATTTAAACTTACTCTTCCTTCATTAGTTGATAGTCTACCGGTGTTACCTTCTGGTTTTGATAAATACATTGTGGTTGTATTATATATACATGTTAAACATTAGAGGAAACTAGATGAGGGATACAGGGAAACTTTGTGCTATTGTTCTTTTCAATGAGGTGACATTCACATAACGTAAAACTAACTGCTGTACTTGTCAGAATCTCTAGTTGTGTAAGTTATAAGGTGCACAATTTAGTATGTTTTGTATGCTTAGTACATTTACAACATTGTGCAGCCATCAGCTCTGTTTAGTTCTAGTACCTTTTCATCACTCCAAAAGGGAACCCTGTACCCATTAAGCAATCACTCTGCCTTTCTCCTTCTCCTCAGCCCCCAGCAACACTAATCTCTTCTCTGTCTCTATGGATTTTTTTTTTTAATGCAGTCTAGAAATCTCCATCTTTAAGTCAGGAGTCATTCATATACCAATCAGAATTTTTCAGAGGTATTCCTTCAAGTCAGGTTTTGATGTAGTTATAAGATTTTTTTTTTCTGTTTGTCTTTTTGACATTGAGTCGTAAAACTTCTTTATGTAGTCTGGATACTACATCCTTATCAGAGATATGACTTACAAATATTTTCTCCCGTTCTGTGAGTTGCCTTTCCACTTTTTTGGTAGGGTTCTTTCATGCACAAAAGTTTTCAATTTTGATTGGCCTAGTTCACCTTTTTTTTCTTTGTTCCTTATTGTTTGGGTATCATATCAAAGAATCCATTGCCAAATCCAAGGTCATGAAGATTTATCCCTATATTTTCTTCTAAGAATTTTTAGTTTTCGTTCTTTGAAACATCTTGAGTTAGTTTTTTTTTTTTTTATATGGTGTGAAGTAGGGATATAAATTCATTCTTCTGCATGGTCCAAAACTTTGGAATTAATTTTGGCGGTTTTTGTTTTGGTTTTTTTGGTGGCTGGCTGGTGCAGGGATCTGAACCCTTGACCTTGCTGTTCTAACACCATGCTCTTAACCCACTGAGCTAACCAGCCAGCCCTAGAATTAATATTTGTAGAAGAGAATAATCATTATTCTTCACAGTTACAGAAAAACATCTATGATTTTAAATCATTTGTTTTCTGAAGAATTAATGACATAAATATAAGAACTAAATTATGAAACTCTTAGGAGAAAACAGGTTAACCTTCATGACCTTGTCTTAGGCAACAGATTCTTAAATATGTACCAAAAGAACAAGCAACCAAAGAAAAATTAGATGCATTGGACTTTGCCAAAATTTAAAAACTTGTGCTTCAAAGCCCACTATCAAGAAAGTGAAAAGATAACCCACAGACTGGGAGAAACTATTGGCAAATCATATAGTGGATAAAGATCTAATGTTTAGAAAATATAAAGAACAATTGCAACTCAACAGTAAAGCAATAAATAATACAATTTAAAAAATGAGCAAAGGATTTGAGTACACATTTCTCCAGAGCAGATATACAAATGGCCCTTAAGCACAGTAAAACATGTTCAACATCATTAGCCATCAGGAAAATAAAAATCAAATCATAATGAGATACTACATCACACCCTCTAGTATGGCTGTAATAAAACTAATATACAATAATAAGTGTTGACAAAAATATGAGATACTGGAACCCTCCTGAATTGCTGGTGGGAATGTAAGATGGTGAAGCCGGTTTGGAAAACAGATTGACAATAACTTAAACATACACTTATTTTATGACTCAGCAATTCCACTCCTAGGTGTATACCCAAAAGAATTAAAAATATACTTTCATATAAAAACTTGTATGTGAAAATTTGTAGCAGCCAAAAAGTGGAAACAAGCCAAATGTCTATCAACAGATGAATAGATAAACAAAATATGTAGCTGTACAATGGAAGATTATTAAAGGACTGAAGTATTAGAAAAAGGACTGAAGTAGTGATACATGCTTCAACATGGATGAACTTGATAACACTATTCTAAGTAAGAGAATCCAGACAGAAAAGGTCACATATTGTATGATTCCATTTATATTAAATGCATAGAGATAGAAAGCAGGATTAGTATTTGCCAGGGGACAGAGGGAGGGAAATGGGGAGTGACTCATGAGTACAGGATTTGTTTTTATGGGAGATAAAAATGTTTTGGAGTTACATAGTAGTGATGGTTGTACACTGTGAGCATACTAAAAACCATTGAATTGTACACTTTAAAAGAGTGAATTTGATGGCAAAATGAATCAATAAAAATACCTAAATTAAAAAAAATGTTCTGCATACAGAGATTTTGTATTTTAAAACAATGCTTATTTTATGTTTACCTGAAGAAAAGTATTTTTATTTTATTTTTTAGGAATTTATCATGGCATCCTGCATTGAACACTAAAAGTAAAATGCGAATGCCACATTCTCATGCGTTTATTGATCTGACTGAAGATTTTACAGCAGGTGAGTTGCATACTTGTATAAATGTGAAATATTTGTTTTGAACTGCCAATAAATACTTTGTATTTATTCACTAATGAACTGAATGTTAAAACCAAGCTGTTAAATGGTTATAAAAAAGTCAATGATATTGGAAACGTGGCTGTAATAAATAAGTCTTCGGTTGTCTTTGTTGTTTATTAATAATTACCTTAAAATTTGAATTCTCCACTTTTTATGAATTCCTGATAATTTGGACATATGTTGCCATATGTTTCTTTCCTTTTCCATTTTCAATTTTTTGACTAGTACTATAAATTGAAGGAAAAGAAAAATATTTATCTCATGTACAAAATAAGGGAGGTTGAAAGTAGAATAATGGTCCCCAGGGACTGGGAAGGGAGAAGGGAGAGGGAGATGAAAAAAGGCTAGTTGATGGGTACAAAATACAGTTAGATAGAAGTAATAAGTTCTAGTATTCAAGAACACGATAGGATGACTACACTTAACAATAATGTACTGTGTTTTTCAAAATAGCCAGAAGAGAAATTTGGAAAATTTCTAACACAAGGAAGCGATAAGTGTATGAGGTGGTAGATATCCGAGTTACCCTGATTTGATCATTACACATTGTATACATGTATCAGATTATCACATGTACTCCATAAAAATGTAGAATTATTATACATCAAAAAAAGTTAAAAAATACTTATAGAAAATTTTAAACATAGAAAAGTAGGCACAGTAATATAAAATAGGCACAGTAAATCATCACTTAGCTTCAACAGTTATTAATTTATGACCAATCTTGTTTTATCTGTATACTCACCCACAAGTCCCTCCCATCCCAGATACTTTTAAATGAAATCCTAAACATATAATTTCATTTGTAAACACTTCAATCTGTATCTCTAAATGATAAAGATTTTTTTATTTGTAACCATCAGAAGATCATTTTGAAACCTAAAAAAAATTAATAATTTCTCAATATCATCGAATATCTAGTCGTTTTTCAGAATGTCCCGATTTCCACCTAAATGTTTTTATCAAATTAGGAGTTAAAGAAGGTTCATATAGATGTAGAAAAAACATCGTCTCTGTTGTAGAATTTCTCAGTCTGGAGTTTTCTGATTGTATCACCATGTTGTTAACTTGTTACTCTGTCCCTGTATTTTCCCTAACCCAGTAGTTAGATTTGGAGCCTTGATCAGAATCATATCTTTTGGGAGAAGGTCGTGTCAAGAATTTTTCCTAGATGTTGCTGTGTGGTTCAGCTCATTAAGAGACACAGAATTTATGTTCTCTTTTGTGATGTTAAGATTAATCAGTAGCTTCAGTTTTCCTCAGCATGGAGCATCCACTGTGATGCTTTCCAGTAGTTTTAGCAGCTATTGATATTTGTCAGGTCCATTACTTCAATGGGAGTTGGCACGCTAAGTCTGTCACTCCTCTGCATATATTATTAGTTGGGATTTTGTAGTTTAAAAAAGGAACTCTCATTATCATCTCTTTAGTCACCCAGAGTACAGTTAAGGTAGGCAAGATAAATGATTTTTTTCACTCCTTCCTCCCATTTTTTTTTTTTTACCAGTTTTCAAACCTGATCTGGTTTTGCAATAACGTTTTTATACAGTGTACTAAATTGCAAATGAGTTAAGCAGGCCTGGTGGCTGCTAAAAGTAATAAAACGTACTTCCTTTTAAAGTATTCCATTATTACTGGATTGATTTTGAGTTTTGCTGGAGCTTTTCCTTTTTTAAAAAAAAAAATTATTATTATTTTTTTTTACATTCTAAGATGTGGAGCAGTTGGGGGGAGGCTAAAGTATTCCATTATTACTGGATTGATTTTGAGTTTTGCTGGAGCTTTTCCTTTTTTAAAAAAAAAATTATTATTATTTTTTTTTACATTCTAAGATGTGGAGCAGTTGGGGGGAGGCAAAGAGGGGAAAGGGGTGGGGGATGGGGATGGAGAGGAAGCAGGGATAGGGGGACATGGTCTAGGCCCATGGCACCCCCCTGATTCTGGTAGGGGAGCCTAGGGGGCTTCCGGAGGCTGCTCATTAGTAGCTGGATGCAGACTTGGCATGGTGTGGATGAGTCCCTAGAGGGGAGAGGGAGGGGTGTCCCATCCCAGGAGCCCTGGGTGCCTCCAGCAACGATAGAGCATTTTCATTATTCAGATAACATTTGCAAAGTTAAGAAAATTTTGATGCCCAATATACTATGGATTTTACTGATTTAAAACAAACAAAAACACAAATTTAACTTTTTGGCCAGTAAGTTTCTTATGGTTTTAAGATGTTAGATTCTTGAGTATATGTTTAGGTTGGAAAGAGAAGAGAGTTTAAGAAACAGGTTATTTTTAGTGTGGCTTATCTAGTATGCTAAATCATATATAAACCACAAAAATAAAGTATTGAGAGCATAGCCGTGGAAGTTGTCTTGAAAGTTCATTTTTCAAAATCAGGAAGTTCTATGGTTATAGGCTCATTTTCGTTTATCTCATTACTGTTATACATACATGCACACACACACGAACTTTTTTTTTTAACAATTCTTTTTTTAGGAAAACTCTTATCTTGTGAGGTTTAAAAAACTTAGTTACTTTTAGTTCAGTAGTATTAGACTTCCTTAAACACCATTGACTTTGCATTTAAGTAATTTTTAAAGAATGCTCAGGTATTCTTACACAATCAGCAAAATCTACCTTATATTTTGCGATCGAGTTGTGATTTTGAGCTAAACAATCTATTGTATAAAATGTAAAGAAATTGTCTCTGATGAGTAATCCTTTGGAAGTTAACTTAAAATGTATAAGGAAGTATTAAAATTCTAATTATTAAAATTGTGTTATTCAAAACTCTATCTCTGCTTTTGAAACCATTTCAGCAAACATTTATTGAGTTACCTGCTCTGTACAAAGCCCCCTACTGTTCATTATGTGAGACACAAAGATAAAAAGAAATGCCTTCAGCTATCAGAGAGTTTTAGTTTACTGGAAGAAGCTGATAAGTCTAGCTGTGATATGTGGCAGAATGAAATAAGTGCTTATTAGTTATAAACTGCTATGTAGTAACAAGGAAGGTAGGAGGAAGTAGTCCCACTATTTGGGGAACTTTAGTGTCCTAAACAGTTCAGCTAAGAATTTGGCCAAAAAAAACAGGTGAGTTATACGGTTCTCATTTTCTGTAGTATACTTATTCCTTAGGACATATAATGCTTTTCCAAACAATAAGATCTAGAAGAAATTCTTAATATAAGTAGGACTTCCTGTAGGAGACAATACATGTAATATAGTAAATGAATTCTAAATAGCAAATACTTTTTTTCTTTTTTTACATTTTTATTCATTAATTTTTTAAAAATAATTACCGAAACAGTGTAACTTTTAGTAACTCCTGTCCACTGTATGGTCATAACATAATTTACTTAACTAATCCTTTTTTTTGAGAAGTTAAGTTGTTTGCAGTTTTTCTTTTTGGTTTTTTGGGGTTTTGTTTGTTTTATTTTTTACTACAAATAGTGCTTTGGTGTCTTATTTTGTGTACATCTCTCCTGAAAAAAGAATACATGGTTAAACAATTATAAACATTTTTAAGGAGGTGAAACATGGCAATGTTGCTAGAAGAAAGGTTTATGAGAGTACTTGTTTCTCCCACCTTTGCCAATACTAGATATTACCTTTTTTTTTTAATTATCAACAATTTGATGGGTGGAAAAACTGGTATTTCATTATGATTTTGATAAGCCTTTCTCAGATTGTTATTGAAATAGAATTTTTTTTTTGTTATATGTGAGTTGACCATTTCCGAGTTTTCCTTTATGGATTGCTATTTTCCTTTATGGATTGCTGGCTCTTCCTAAATTCTCTACTTGGTTTAAAGTTGTTATTCTGCCAGCCAAGATTTTTTGTGCAGCCACTGGCAATTCTGACTCATTTCTGCTATTGCTTTCTAAATCATCTGCAAGGATTCAAGTTATTTAATGCTCATATCATTTTGTATAATAATCTGATCATACTGTGATCATCTCATTCACTTCAGTAATCCATTTCAAGAAAATAAAGTCTGGCTTTTAGTCCCTGGGCCCATCCCTCCATGCACAGCAGAAATGGCCATTGATCACCAAAAGCAGACTCTGTTGCATTCCTTTATTGCTGCAAAAGAAAGTCAGCCTGGCCATCTGTTCAGCTCATTTGATAACTAAAGAGTAGGCATCTGCCTTCAAAAAACAAAGACAAAATATTAGAGTCCAGGTCCTTGTCTAACAATGGAATCTGTATCAAAAGTCCAGTTGCGAAAGAAGGTATCTACATATGAATGACATAGGACATGTGGACCATTAATCTCTCTTGATAGTCTTGATTTGAGAGAATTTGATTTTAGACAAAAATGTATTTGAGTCAATGGGTGTGATATATACTTAGGCAACCATTGTTAATTTGGCTCTAGAACTTGAAAAAAATAGTTCAGAGCCTAATGTTTGGGAGTCTTTGGCATTTTTGAGGCCATGAAAATGACTGAGTTCTGAAATGGTAAACTTACAGTAGTAAGAATAGAGGGCTAGGAACTCAATATTTGTTTTATTTGCTTTTGAATTATTAAAAGTAGCATGAGTATAGTAAGAAGTTAAAAGAGTTGAAAAGTTTATAAAGGAGAGGAAATCACTGTCTTCAGTTTCTGTTTCCTGAAATCTTCTGTGCAGATACACATTCATTTTCCTTTTTATTCAAATTCAATTGTATGTATGTAATTATGATTCTGTCTTAATTCTGATATATTAGCATATCAGTACATATGGATTGACCTGGGTTGTTTTAATAGATTCAAGAGATTCCATTATACAGAGATACTATAATTTAATTAAATATGCATCCGTTGGTGAATATTTGCATATTTTTTCTTTGCAACTTTGCTCCATGAAGCATTTTTTCAAATACATTTCTATGTTCTTGTGCAAATGTAGGAGTATTAGGTATTGCCAGCACTTCAATTAAGGCTGCATATGTGCCTTTTTCCCCTT